TAAAAAATGTTCTAGTTCTTTTTGACCCATTTGTCGCCAATTGAAGTATTTTTGGCAACAACACAGCATTAATCCTACCTTATATAATTTGGTCGCGTATCTTTGTGTGTGTGTGTCCGGCGCCAGGGAGGGCTACTTTGCATAATTCCAAAAAATACAAATTTCCTCATTCTTGCAAGTTGCACGCGCGGGTGTGGTCGGATGAAGGGAGGGGTCCGAAGGACCCAAGCTATCGGAAAGTCAAATTTCTCATGCAAAGGCCGCATTCCAGCGCCCAAGGCCCGCGAAGCGGGTTTTGGGCGCTGGTCTCGTAATTTGAGCAAGCCCTACAATTAGTGATGATGATTGACATGATGATTGACATCAAGATAATTCGAAATTTCGTTCACCAGAAAGAGTAAAACTAAGCGTAAATTCCCATGGGAACCGACCAACCGATGCAAAACCGATAAAATTTTTTTACTGGGCGTCCGTATGGCCTTCACAGCAAGTTTTATCCAAAAAGCAAAAAAGCCGTCAGCGACAGGACTCGAACTAGTGACCCCTAGATTGGTAGACTAAGTACTTGCCGACTACACCATGCCACCGATGGATGCCTCCCTCTGGAAAGAGGCCTTGAAGCGCGTGGGACGGATCGCGCCCAGCTAGGCAAAAAAGTACGCAATGTTTAAAATGATTTTTCATGGTGTTCCTATGGATTTGGGCAAAAATAAATATCGGGATCGTGATCAGCGCGAAAAACTGCATCTGATGCGCTATCTAGCTAACCGAAGTTGAACTTCGAGCTGGGGAGGTATCCTTGTTAGCCTATGGTTAGTCTAAGTAACTAAAAACATATTGCTCCCCAAAACAACACAGGGAAGAACAACCCTGTAACCTGGCAGAGATGAAGTCAATTTCTCAGGCCTGTAAGTCTCAGATCGCCGAGACAAATATGGGAACCCGGCCCCCACGCGGGTGGACGGCGATAGAGCGGAAAGAAGGCGAGAGATACAGAGGGCTATCATGCGGTGGGATCTTCGGCTCTTTGACTCCCTCAGATCGCGCTCCCCTTGCGCTTTAACGACGACGATGCTCAGATTTCCAGCCCACAGTCACCCCCGCAGGGAGGTGGCGCTGCGCACGGCTGGAGGTCAGCCAGCCGGGTCAGTTTTGATCAGCCGGAGATTCAGAGTCGAGGGTAGACTAGCAGAGAATGTTGTGGAAGAGAAGAGGGCAGGCTAGCAGAGATTGTTGAGGAAGAGGAGAGGGCAGGCTAGCAGAGATTGTTGAGGAAGAGGAGAGGGCAGGCTAGCAGAGATTGTTGAGGAAGAGGAGAGGGCAGTCTAGCAGAGATTGTTGAGGAAGAGGAGAGGGCAGGCTAGCAGAGAATGTTGTGGAAGAGAAGAGGGCAGGCTAGCAGAGATTGTTGAGGAAGAGGAGAGGGCAGGCTAGCAGAGATTGTTGAGGAAGAGGAGAGGGCAGGCTAGCAGAGATTGTTGAGGAAGAGGAGAGGGCAGGCTAGCAGAGATTGTTGAGGAAGAGAAGAGGGCAGGCTAGCAGATATTGTTGAGGAAGAGGAGAGGGCAGGCTAGCAGATATTGTTGAGGAAGAGGAGATGGCAGGCTAGCAGAGATTGTTGAGGAAGAGGAGAGGGCAGGCTAGCAGAAATTGTTGAGGAAGAGGAGAAGCTCGGCTGGCAGAGTATCATGCGACTCCAGCTAAAGAGCATGAGCTTCTGAAGCGGCATCTTCAGAGCAGCCAAAAAAAGGCGAACGAGCAGAGGATCTTAGCGAATCCCAGGATTATACACCGCGTCCCCTTCGATCGATCCGGCAATCAAAAATCGTAAAATTCCGATGCCCGAAACTTGGGCCGTCACGGAGGGCGCACAATAGTGGGGCGGGCCATCGTTGAGGCCATTCTTCGTGTTTATCCCCCCGGCCTGCGACACAACACACGCCCATGGTAACCAAGCCAAAGGCGGGCAAGAGCGGATGCTGACTAACCATTTCGAAAGCTCTTTCGATTAAAGGAACAGGTAAGTCGCGTCCGGGTCAGCTCTGGGGGGTGGTAAAAGTTTTGGATCGGCGTTTCGGAACGTCACTAGATCGGCACTGTATCTTCCTTGAGCTTTTCAGTGCCTCGTAATGGATTTTAAGAGTTTTTTTTGCCAGTTTAAGGGTTTTTTTAGGAAATCTTAGTGTTTTAAAGCTTTTAGGGAATTTTTTAAGGGTATAAAAAGCAGGAATATTGAAAGGCATTGGCTAAGATTCTCAAAATTCGAGCTGCTAGTAGTGATTCGCCATAAAGTGTCTACGCATAATGGGCATGGCAGGCTAGCAGAGGCCGTTTGGGAAGAGCTGAATAACTTCCGACGCTTGAAGAACAAGAGCCAAAACAAACAAATAGAGTTTTGCGGCAGGGCTTGGAACAAGTTGTTCAGGAAAACGTCAAAATGCATCAAATTCGAATCGAAAGAGCCAGGCAGGCTAGAAAATATCCTTGAGGAAAGTTTCAGCCTTGTCCAAATTTGCATATCAATCCAAATCCCGCCAAGAGTTGCACAGTTGATGGATGAAAATTGGTGCCATTGTGTGTTGGGGTGTACCCACCCCGACACACAGGTGACCACCACCGCCCGAATATGAGGCAACTCCCTGAAAGCCCGATTTGCATAAAGCCCCGCCCCCACAATAGGGAGACAGAGAGAGGGAGAGGCAGAGAGACAGCACAACACCGTATAATTACCCGTCAGCCCCCGGAGCGGAATGCATTACCTTTAGGGGGAAGGGGCGGCGCGGCTTTCAAACAGGCTTTACCTTGTGAAATTGGGCCCAAAAGCGGGCAGGCTAGCAGAGATTGTTGAAGTGATATGATTTAAGCTCGAACCGGCTAGCAGAGTTTCTTCAGGAATTCGGTCTTCATATCCTGGCAGGATAGTGGATATTCTTTAAGAAGCTAGGCAAGCTAGCAGAGATCCTTTAGGAATAGCCAAATTATAAGGCAAGTTAGCAGGGGGAACGTTAAGAATCTCCTTTCGAAGAACTGGCAAGCTAGCAGAGATTCTCTGAGAATTCGGCGTTCGTACCATAGCATGCTAGCAAAGATTCGTTAGGAAGCTCCAAATCGGTAGATTTTCATGGAGAGCGAGCAATTTTTGCGGAAAATGTAAGCGACGCTGTAAGAAAACCTGTAACAATTCTGAAATTATAAACGCGGGCAGACTAGCAGAGATTCTTTAGGGGTGGTTGCAACTAGGCGGGCTAGCAGCGATCCTTTGGAGGTTTGCATCCGTATAATCTACCTTCCCAGCCCGTTAAAGGTATCCGTAAGCCCCCAGGAATCCGCCCATTCCCGGGCAGTGAACGCCGGCTTACCACGAGAGGCTAATCTGGGCTAATTACCTGGCTGGCAGGAGCGGGAGCCGGAGGGTGTTCCCGGTGCTTATAATTGAGACCGCTAGCCTAGCTAGTGGGGAGAGAGAGATCGAGAGAGAGGGAGGGAAAGTGAGCGAGAGAGAAAGCGCTATTCCGATTTTATGATGTTATGACAAAATGCAGGGGCTTTCCTACGGCGGACTACCGAATAATTTTGTCTTCGGAAAACTTGAAAATCCCTGATTGCTAACCCGAAGAATCTCTGCTAGCTTACCCAGGGCGTGAAAATGTTTCTGAAAGATTTCCTAAAGGCTCTCTTCTGCTAGCGCTCACATTTGCTCTCTCTCTCTCTCTCTCTCTCTCTCTCTCTCTCTCTCTCTCTCTCTTCTCCTTTCTCTCTCTCCTCTCTCTCTTCTCTCTCTCTCTCTCTCTCTCTCTCTCCTTTTCCCCCCCCCGCCCTCCCCTCCTTTCGCTCTCTTTCTTTCCCTTCCAAAATTCAGCTGTCATGGATAGCGAAAGAGCTCCATAAAACAGAGATAATATGCCGTTGCCCTGTGGCATGGTGTCAATGGTATTTTTGTGGAGCTGCCGAGCATCGAAGCGTGATGGTGGGAGTGCTTTAGCCACTGCGATGGGCAGTATACTGAATTTTAAGCGGAGATTGCTGCACAAGAATAGACAGATTTCAAAGTATATTAAGGATCTTTCTAGGCTAGCTTGATCCTGTTCGAATTTTAGGCCTTCAAGGTGTCTTTAAAAAGATTAATTAGGTTGTGTAATCAATTACGGATTATTTGGCACGCTTGCAAGAATTCAAAGACGAAATAGAACGTACCAATAACAATACTACCTAAAACCTTCCAAAAAACAACTATAACACACAACATTGCGATACCTCGAGCCCGAGGATCGATCGAGGAGCCACAGACAGTGTGGAGGCTGAGAGTGACATTGGGGGTGAAGAGCGAGAGTCAAACTTGTTTCCCTCGAAACAGTCACCACCCCTGACTCTCGGAAATACAACACATACGGCCATCCGAGTACGAGTGCCCCCTTGACATAAATGGGGCGCGGGGCATTGACCAGTAAAGAGGAGCTCTTTGTAATGTTGCGATACCTTTAAGGTGGGCTAGCAGGAATCTTTGAGGAAGAGGAGAGGGCAGGCTAGCCGAGATTGTTGAGGAAGAGCAGAGGGTAGACTAGCAGCGATCATTTGTCGTCGAAAGGCAGGCTAGCAGAAACCTTTTGCGCAACCCCACTGCATAAAGGGTGGGCAGTCTCTAGATCAGATCGTGACCTCGAAAAAATGAATGCCTCCCGCGCACGGTTGGGAGGATGGGATTAGTGACAGCCGGGACGAGATCAGCTCCCCAGATACGATGCGAGCCGCCCATACCCAAGGCGTCGCCGCACCGTAAACGTACGCAATCCTTGCGCCCTAGTAACGAGCGCCTTTCGCAGCTTACTCACCCCGCAAGCATAAAAAAAAGTCAAATAAATTTTATAGGCAGGCAACAACCAACGAACAACAAAAACAGGGGGCCAACAACGATCAATAATCACATAACTCGTATCGATAACAAAACGTGGGGGCTCGGAAACAATTTAAAAAGGTGCTAGGGGCAGTGGCTGGGGTGCTTAGTCTTCTTCCATCTCTTCATCTTCATCCTCGTCATCCTCTTCGTCGTCGTCGTCATTCGCAGCGCCAGGTCCGTCGCCAGTATCCGGTCGCTGCTTGGCCAGGTTCTTCTTCCGAATTTCTCCTAAAATGTTTTCATAAAACTTAAAAGCTAAAATAATCGCTGCAAAAACTAAATTAGGACGGCTTCGAGCGGGTCTGATAAAGAAATACACGCCATTTACGGGACCTTTCATCCGTTTTAAATCCAAAATTTCATAAAAATTCTTAAATTTTTGGAACCTTTTGATTTTCGAATTTTTCTGAATAGGACATCGAAAAGATACTAATAAAAAAGAGCAAAACGCCAAAAAATTTTTAGCTGAGAAAGACAGGCCCGAAAAACTCTAACCTTTGTCCGAGTCGTCACTTTCCTCTCCGCTTCCGCTTTCCTCTTGCATATCTGCGTCATCATCATCCTTTTCCTCGTCGTTCCACCATTCCTAAAAAAAAAGGAATTTTACAATGGCTAGTCAAAGCAACCTCTTCACCGCTGCTGTGGCCATCTGAATTCTCGGCAGCCGAAGCATCCTCCTCGTCCGAGGTGTCAATGTTGTCTAAAAATTGGATTTGAGACAATAAAAGCACTTTTTAAAAAAGCCCAGGTTTACTAAAAATTTTTCTGAAGAATTTTCTATGCTCACCAGTTCTGAAGATGACGATTGGCCGCGCAAGTGGCTCAAGCTTGCTGTTGGTGCGCTTTTGGATGTGCTCGCCGAGGACGCACCTAAATTTAAGGAAAATGGCGTCAAAAAAAAATAAAAACGCACATTTTTCCATGCAGGGCCAAAAGTTTTGCGGCGCTGTTGGATCGCGTCTTCATCCAGTCGTAGAGCCCGCCAATCTCCGTTTCCAAGGAACGAATCTAAAAAATAACAATAACCTTGCCGAATCGCGAGAAACGTACTGAAGAGAGATATCCCATATGCATTGAGAGAATCGTTTGCGCCCAGCGGAGCAGCGGTCGGATGCTGAAATGAGGCAATGAAAAAACATTAAAATTCATTTCGAATCAACAATTATAGAAAATCATTAAACGTAATGCTCTGTAACAAAACCCAACTCTATTCCACGACGCAATCGCAGGTTATCTTCAATCACCTTCAACAATGGGACGACGTGATTGATCGGAAGCTCGGCCAACGTGGACTAAAACTATAGGTCAAGCCAATGGAAAAACAAAACAACCTGTATAATCGAGAGATCTGTTTTCAACAGCACTGCATCCAATTTTTCCCTATCATTGGCCATGAGCCCTGAAAAATGTATTAAAATTATAATTAACTCTTCACCTTGCGTCAAAATGACAACCATCGAATTCCCCGGGGCTTTGTCGACCACCGATTCTTCTGAGGGGACACTAAAAGAAAACTAAACAAAAGAAAAATGGACATACGCCGTCGGATTCTCGGCCTTGTTCGCCTCGGCCTCGAGCTTCTGCTTCAATTTGCCCAATGGAATCCCGGACTGAAAACAAAAATATTGAAGAGAATGTGTATTCCTTACTTTTGTTTCACCGCCAGCTTGCGAGGCCTCCTCGGGCAGCTTTTCCACAGACGGCGAAGCTTTGGCGGCCGCCGTGCTGTTTCTGGTGGCTCGGCCCATTCTGAAAAAAGTAAAGTAACAAAGTTTTTTAATGCTTTCAGCGCGATTTTGAAGCGATGAAAGATTTCAGGTGAAACCCCTGATATCACCAAATTTAAGGTCGATAGATATCAGATTTGTAAAGTTTATAAGCGTAAATAGTAATCAACGTCGTCGCGTTTGACAAAAACAAAAACAAACTTTTCCTACGATTTTTAATATTCGTTTTCTTTTTATTGAGCGCGTTTTCTGTGGAATGGATAGCAAGGAGTAGGGCTCCGCTGATATTACAACATTGATTTTCAATAAATTAAATTTGTAAAGGTTAACAAGCGTAATATAGTAAAAAACGTATTTACTTTTACAAAAGCACTTTTTGTTACGATTTTCAAGATCCTAACCCGATAGCGAGTGCGCGTTATACCCGCGTCGATAGTAGCGTGCCGTTTTTCGTATTGCCCGAGGCGAAGGTCAGCGCCCTTATTGAAAATTCGGGCACTACTTCAGTTTGCTGGCCCCACTTATATTTCGCCAAAACCTCATGTTTCCGGGCTAGTTTTTTGCGCTGATTCCGAAAAACTTTTTTTTAATTCGTTTTATAAAATTGACACTACAAGCGAGTTATTTTTATAATTTAACTATATCAATCGATAAATACGTTTACGTTGCTTTCAGTGATGTACAACGCGCTCAACGGGTACCAGAATGGACAGCATGCACAGCAACGAGGCCCGATGCAGCCCGGGCTGGGCTATCAACAACCCAACAACGCCATGGTGCCCCAATTTAACATGACGATGCTCAACCAGGTAGTTTAAGCGAGCTTGGGTCGAAACCTAGGGGTTATAGTGCTAAAGCTAGAACATTTTTGCAACCCGGAAGCTGCTAGCAAATTTAAAATGTTCAGCCTTTTTCGTCGAATAGGCTTATTTTTAGTTTCTAATAGAATTTTGTAAAGTTTTTGCGCTTATGAATGGCTAAAAGAGACTGGAAAGATTTATCTTATTAGACCCACTTCTTTCAGCCCCCACCCGGCACCTCCTTTATGCCGCCAACCCTCCCCCATGAACCGGGGCGCCAAGCGATGCCCTACGCGCCGACCGGAAATCAGCAACCCGCGCAGCAGTTTCAGGTTGTGATCTAGCTTCGGATTCATAAAAAAAAAACATTTTCAGCAGCCCCAAATCTCGCAGACCGCCATCCCGCCCCTGATGTCGAGTTACACGACGACCTCGGCGTATAGCCTGCCCCCGAACCACGGCCGGGCCGGATTCTCAAACGACACGGGAATTGTAAGCTTTAAAAAGCTATCTGGCCAATTTGATCAACTATTTTTAGAAGCGAAAACTGAGCATTGAAAGATCAGAGTCGGAGAAATCAGGGAAAGTACACGAGGACCGGAAGAGAAGAGGGTGAGTGCGACCTTGTCGAAACTTATTTGATTTTTAGTTCTCGCTCGCCAGAAGACCGGAAACGACGGAGACCACGTCGGTGCGTTTTTTACAAACTTTACAATGAGCGGATAAATTTAGGGAATTTATTAAATTGCTTTTTTCAGGTCTCGCTCCCCTACGCCAGTGAAAACCGCGAGAACTGGGTATGCAATTTAATTTTGAGGTATTTATCTGAATTTTAGTCCGGCCGGCGGGTCTGTCACAGCCCTCCTCCAAAAATCGGATCGCCAGGAAGAGGAGGTCAATCTTCAGGAATATTTTTTATAAAATTCCTTCAGATTCGCAGGCTCGGCGCGGAACTCGAAAAGCTCAAATCTCAGCACGGCCTTTTACAAAACGAAATAGGGTTTCGTTTTCGCTGGTTTTTGAAATTAGAAAAATTACAGGACATTACGGAGCGACAAGATCAAGATGAAGTCGGATTTCGAGCGCGCCAATCGGAGCCTGGCCGCTAAGAATACAGAGTGCGAAAATTTGAAGAAGGTTTGATTTTTGAAACTTCAATCTATGATTTTTTTGCGCTTTAGAATGATATAAATCAAAAGAAGCAGCACGAGTTTGTGAAGACGGCGTTGACGAAGGCGCGTGAGGACGCGGAAAAGGAGCAGAAGCGAGCGACGGTAGAAGATAGCTTTTGGGTGTAAAAATTTTATTTTAGGAAGCCGTCGAAAAATCGGACGCGATTCTATCGGAGCTCGACTTTTTGAAGGGGAGAAACGAGGTAGGGCATTTTTTACAAGATCCATGCCTTTTTAGGTGCTAGTGAAAAAATGCGAGGAGCTCATCGACAAGAATCGCGCAATGGTCGACACAAAAGACGAGGCGTTGCGACTCGTTGAGGCCGCGAAAAAGGAGGCAGAGATCAGGGAGCACGAGATGAAGATGAAGCTCGACCATATTGAGTGGGTTTTTTATATAGAAAAAATTTACGATCCTTTTAGCCGGCTTGAGAAGGACCTCTCCATCGTGCACAACAAGGAAATACTGTGGCAGCGCGACCGGGAGGAGATGAGTCGGGCGCTTGAGACAAAGGTTAGGGGTAGCTAGTTAAAAAATTTAATTTTCTCTGAAATTTGCGTTATTTTGTTTGATAGAGCGTAAATTGGATTAATAAGTCATATTGCCTTGAAAACTTTAATTTAAATTTTGTCGGATATTTGAAGGATAGAGCACCGATTGAGTATTAAAAATTATACCAAAAAGAACACAACGTGAAAAATAATGCTAATCTCTCTTAAACAAAAATATTTTAGGCTTGGCCCTTAAATGTGAACGATTTTTCAATTTACAGGACCGACTACTTGTAACCGAGCGGGGAATTTTGGAAAAGGAGTACAAGCGCGAGAAGGGAGCCCGAGAACGGCTGGAGGTGCTGCTCAAAAAGGAGAACCCCGAGGAGGCGGATACCTTTATGGGGCTGGTAGGGAATTTAAGGTATCGCCTTGATTTCCATCTATCTAGGAGCTGCTCAACCGGACGCTGGACACCGTCAAAACCGAGATCGAGGAGCAGTTCCGGATTTTGCGCGAGACGGCGCTGCCGTATCAGGAAGCCGGGGTCAGTGCAGGGTTTCGGAATATAGACATTTTAATTTTACAATGTTTAAACATTCGTTCGCGGGATTAAAAACTACAATTATTAAATTTTCAGCCATCCAACGCGCGCTCCGAGTTCCGGCGCGCCCTCTCGGAGCCGTTAATTTAACCCGGGGTTAGCCGTCGATTTCCCGACGCGCTTTTTCGAAACGGATCGGTAAAATAGACTATAAAACGGCTTTAAAGGGAAAAATAAAAAAAGCATCTAACTAAACATATATTCTTTCGTGTCCTAGTCCCTTTAAAGCCAAAATAACGGTTTTAAGCCATTTTTAAATACCTCTTCCCAATCTTTTTAAAGCTAAAAACGTAGTTTCTAAGCGATTTTTCGACAAAAAATACCAGTTTATTTAAATATGCATAACGCCGAAAAAAGTTTTAAAGGGATATTTTGACGAAAATGTCATTTTTTGCCTCCCAGTCCCTTTAAAGCTGCTTAAAAATATAAATCTTAAATTCTTGAGCTTTCTGTGATTCCACAAAACACGGGTGTCAATTAGCATACATCTTACCCCGCTTTGGGAGATATTTTAAAATGATAATATCCACAAAAATAGTTATCGATTTTTTTTTCGATTTTTTTTTGGTATTTGGATATTACCATTTTGGTTTTTTTAAGCGATGATGCCACCACCCGCAGCGACACGAGTCAGCCACGTGAACCGGTGCCGAATTTTTCCCTTTTTAGAGTTGTTTTATTCCCGATGTGATCAAATATTTGCTGCCATTCCGTCGTGAATTTACGTTGTTTCCGTTTTACACCTTTTAACACCCGAAAACGGTGATTTTTTTGCATCCTTTCCAGCAATTCATTGTATCCGTTCTACTCGTCTATTAATGCTTGACCGCCTGACTTGTGCTTACTTATGATGCTTGTCAGCGTCTACTAACGCGTTTATGTGAGTTTGTGATTTTTTATAAATTCTAATGATTCATCACATTACATTATTACATTACAGCACAAAAAATGAAATAACAGGCCATTTGGGTACTGGACTGTTAGCGGGGGGGGGGAAGCGATCTAGTCGAAAATTAGCAGTTTATTAGAATCCTATAGTTTATTTTGATGGTTTTGAGGGTTTTTGATCGTTAAAAACTCGTAAAACCTAGAAGATTTTGAAAATCTGAATTTCCCACAAAATTTCCAAAATAAATATTATTTTCCAAAATTTTTTAGAACTTTTGATGAGCTTTTAAAACACCACATAAATCGTGCGTATCTACTTGTTGTTGCCTTACGACGGGGGCAAATACCCCCGCTAACAGCCCAGTACCCCTATTTTCACTCTACTATTTCTCAAATAAATTCCCCTCTTGGCAAAGGTGACTACTACAATTTCGCCCACTTTCGTTTTGCCCTGGGAAACTTTCGCACTGTGGCGGCGGCCGGTGGCGAGAATTGGGCCCTAATTGGGCCCCACTCTCCTCCAGGAGGGCCCGCCCGATCAGCCACCCAGAATTATACCTACCGGGGGCCCAGTCGGCTCAACAACATACCACTGAAGGCATCGATTCCGACTAGGTTTTTGAGCTTTACCTGGGTTGTTGGATTTTGCATTCCGGCCCAAAATCCAGACAGGCCAAAATTCCGATACTCTAAAATAGAGTTGGAAAACCCCCCGAGAAATACCCCCGGGGGTATTTGAAAACCCCCCCGCCGCAAACTTGGGTAATTGAACCAAAATCCGGGTTCTCGAAAGTTCCATTTGTTCGATCGGCCGAACTGGTATTTCTGATCAGTGGGCCAGATCCGCGTCTTTCACCTTTCAGCAAAAGACGCATACCTGGCCCACTCATCGGTGCCAATTCGGTCCCACTAACGAACATCTGGACGGGGGGGGGGAGGGGTTTAAAACACCCCCGCGGGGGGGTTCCTCAGGGGGGTTTTTTAGGGGTATTTTTTGCTCCCCGGGGGGGTTCTCGGGGGTTTTCAAAGTCTATTCTAAAATGCCGACAGCTAAAATCCCAACAAATGAATGCCCGGAGATGAAGATCCAGAAGGCGAAAATCCCGACAACCCGAAATGCCGAAGCGCAGATCCCGAAAAATCTCGACAGGCGGAATCTCGAAAGGCCCCAATCCCGACACGCGAAAATCCCGACAAGCTAAAATCTCGACAATTCAAAATGCCGATAGCCACAATCCCCGACTGATCTAAACCGGATAGTTTAAAATACCGACAGCCAAAATCCCGACAGCGAAAGGCCGGAAAAGAAAATCCCGGGAGCCCTAAATCTCGACAGCCACAATCCCGACATCCAAAATGCCGACAGCCATTATCCCGACTGCCAAAATCCCGGCATTTCCTTGATTGAATGTCCCTTTTTTTGAACAGCTATCTTCCATGTCAGAATTTTGCCGTTTCCACGTGGTTTGAGCACGGCAGGCTAGCCGAGATCCTTTAGGAACACCTCGTATTACCATCATTTTTGGGTAGCGTATTTTTTATCTTCTTTCTTTTGGCCGCTATCCCTCTCCGGCTTACAGTAATTTTCAAAAGACGCACAACGCAACGTTTATACCTTGTAAGCAATTCTAATAAAAGTTCTTTGAAGCCGACGTCATGCTCCCCCTTACCTACCTCTCCGCTACCTGTTATTCACACCCGATTTTGAGTCGCCTCCCCCCAAAAACACCTATCGATTTTGGGACCCCGGAATTAAGGTGAGCACATGATTCCGTGTGGGGTGGGTCTCTAGGAGAGGCCCACCAGCACCCCGCGACAATCACCGTAATTTCCGTCCCCCAAGGGGGCCCAGTAGGAGGGCTGTCCTTTGGAGTGTCGCGTACAATTAGTGGCCCATGACTGCGATATATTTTGTTATTATCGGCTTTCCTCAACAATCTCTGCTAGCCTGCCCTCTCCTCTTCCTCAACAATCTCTGCTAGCCTGCTCTCTCCTCTTCCTCAACAATCTCTGCTAGCCTGCTCTCTCCTCTTCCTCAACAATCTCTGCTAGCCTGCTCTCTCCTCTTCCTCAACAATCTCTGCTAGCCTGCTCTCTCCTCTTCCTCAACAATCTCTGCTAGCCTGCTCTCTCCTCTTCCTCAACAATCTCTGCTAGCCTGCCCTCTCCTCTTCCTCAACAATCTCTGCTAGCCTGCCCTCTCCTCTTCCTCAACAATCTCTGCTAGCCTGCCCTCTCCTCTTCCTCAACAATCTCTGCTAGCCTGCCCTCTCCTCTTCCTCAACAATCTCTGCTAGCCTGCTCTCTCCTCTTCCTCAACAATCTCTGCTAGCCTGCTCTCTCCTCTTCCTCAACAATCTCTGCTAGCCTGCTCTCTCCTCTTTCTCAACAATCTCTGCTAGCCTGCTCTCTCCTCTTCCTCAACAATCTCTGCTAATCTGCCATCTCCTCTTCCTCAACAATCTCTGCTAGCCTGCTCTCTCCTCTTCCTCAACAATCTCTGCTAGCCTGCTCCCTCCTCTTTCTCAACAATCTCTGCTAGCCTGCTCTCTCCTCTTCCTCAACAATCTCTGCTAATCTGCCATCTCCTCTTCCTCAACAATCTCTGCTAGCCTGCTCTCTCCTCTTCCTCAACAATCTCTGCTAGCCTGCTGCTGCTATCCGTTTCATCAGTTTTTAAGTGAAATCTATCTCACTATGTCTCTCTCCCTCACTCTCTCTCTATCGCTCTGTAAATAATCTCTGCTTGCCTTCCCTCCTCCAAAACTTTTGGCATCTTTTTTATTGTTTATATTTTAATTCCGCTTTGGGTTTTTTCCTGGTGCCGACGTACTGAAATTTCAACGCTTTGAATCTCGACATTCCGTAACAAGTCCGCTTTTTCAGGCTTCTCACCTCGTCCTCCCTGATCTTCGACCAGGATATGACGAAGAGCGTGGATTCAGGCTGATCTTCCCAGAAACGCAGCTCCAGATTTCCTAGACAGGTTAGGCCATCCCTATTCTTCATTGTCTAGATGGAATAGAGAGAGAGAGAGAGACAGTGGGAGAGAGAGAGAAATTGTCCATATCTTTCCTCCCATTGTATCCGCTGCCCTGCCGTTCCTCTGCTGCATAACAATACAAATCGTGAAATCATAGCCCCCGCAAAAGGCAGCGTAGCGGATTAGGCGGGGATAGTCAGGAGGAAGAAATGGAGATACGCGAGAATAATATGAGCGGGGATTGAGTAATATTGAGTTCCGTTTTTTTTAATTTGGTCGGATTTTTAATGGTTTAAAGGGAACGTGGCAGCGTATTTTTTCGGAATGCTTCAATATTGAATTTACCCCAATCAGCCTCAACATACGCTGATCTGCTCTCTCTCTCTCTCTCTCTCTCTCTCTCTCTCTCTCTCTCTCATCTCTTAAAAGGCCGTTTGCGGGAGGACCGAAATAGGCTTGGCACAGTTTTTTTTCGACCTATTTTTTTTGACGCCATCGGATAGAGCATAATCGAATTAGTGGGGCCATATAGTTTTGAAAGTTTAAAAAGTTGATTTTTGGGATTTAAAGGGCCGCTAAAGTTGCCGACATGGAAAACCTATCTCGAAAATTTCCGGACCAAATTTGCTGAAAATTTGTGACAATACCTAATTTTGGATGGAGATCATTTCTTTAATACATTTCGAAACCTGAAAACGGCTGGAACATAGGAATCTCGCGTACTAAAAACAGTTTTTTGAAATTTTCTAATTAATGGGAAAACGGCGGCATCCTGAAAGTAGCATAGAAAGATGCGCCAATTTTTTCTACGTCGAATGATGTGTCTTTTAGGATGCCGCCATTTTCCCATCATCTGTAAAAACGGCATTTTCTTGATGAAAAAAAGAAAAATATCCAGATTTGCAAACGGGAAGTTACCCACTTGCTTCTAGAAGCGCAGCCAAGTCAATTGCAAAAAAAAGCAAAAAGAAATTCGGTTTCTAAAAGGGGGCTGGGATTGAACTCGGGTCGTTCGCCTGGGGAGGTGGCGGCGCCCTCTAGCCTCTGTCCCCCGCGCCCCCCAGGCGGACCATCGCGGGTTCGATTCCCCTCCGTACTCAACTTCGCGTAAATGAGGAATTTAAATTTGCTCTTTTTTGATAATAGTGGCATTGATCTCTAGATGCTTTCCGCAATCCTTTATATTTCTCATTAGCGGCCCCCGATTTTCTAAGGCTACTTTTGTTGATTCCAGAGATCACGACTTTTCTAGATGATGGGAAAACGGCGGCATCCTAAAAGACACATCATTCGACGTAGAAAAACTTGGCGCATCTTTCTATGCTACTTTCAGGATGCCGCCGTTTTCCCATTAAGTAGAAAATCTTAAAAAACCGTTTTTAGTACGCGAGATTCCTATGTTCCAGCCATTTTCAGGTTTTGAAATGTATTAGAGAAATGATCTCCATCCAAAATTAGGTATTGTCACAAATTTTCTGCAAATTTGGACCAGTAATTTTCGAGATAGGTTTTCGATGTCGGCAACTTTAACGGCCATTTAAACCCCAAAAATCAACTTTTTAAACTTTCAAAACTATGCCACCCTACTAAATCGGCCACGCTCTTTCAGATGGCATCATAAAAATAGGGTCGAAAAAACTGTGCCAAGCCATAATGGGGACAGTTCGGGTGGCTGGCGGACGGCCTTTTAAGACGTCTTTTGCAGATGGAAACCAGAGATTTCGTCCCATCGCTCGGCATCACTGAGCGCCAAGTCTGCGCGTACGCGACAATTTCAGCCGTAGTGCTGCTGCTCCCCCAGGCTCATTTTGTATGGGTAAGTTAGACTCCAGGCAAGCTAGCAGAGATGTATGATGTACCGAAATCAAGCTTTTTTAGCAACAAACCGTGCTCCTCCTCGTCCGCTCAAACCGCAGCTATGACCTGCTGCTGCTACTCCTCGGCTGTTTCGGCTTCATCCAGTTGATTCTGCACAGCATCGGGCTCGTCGTGTCGCTGACTAGCGATGTATTGGCTGATTGGATGCTGGTAGGCTAGCAGAGATTGTTGAGGAACAGGGGAGATATTTATTTTTCAGGCCTTCTCAAGCGTGATGCTCGCAACATGGTTCGGCACCCTCCTCCTCCTCCCCATACTCATGCTCCAACGCTTCGTCGCCGCCGTTACGAAGCGAGCCCTCAGATTCCTGCTCCAGTTTGTTTTTGGGGTAGGCACACTTCCCTGCCCCTTGAAAATTTCCTTTCAGCTTCTCGGCCTCGGCGTGTTGATCCTCGTTGCGCTGGGCGTAATTTTTCTACTGACGGCCAGAAGTACGCAATATATCGCATACAGCTTTTCATGGTATATCAACACTGACAGTGCGTTTAGGTGAGTTCTTTTTCGGTCCTCTCTCATTCTCACTCTCTCTCTCTCTCTCTCTCTCTCTCTCTCTCTCTCTCTCTCTGTCTCTCTCTATGTCTCCCTGACTTTCTCTCTATGTCTCTCTGTCTCTCTCTCTCTCTCTCTCTTTCTCTCTCTCTCTTTCTCTCTCTCTCTCTCTCTCTCTCGGTCATGCTTTATCTCTCTCAATTACTTACGTTTCAGACCTATCAACCGTTATCTCAGCTACATTTCGGCGGGCTCCGTCATTATCAGCTCAATTCTGCTCATCACCTCATATCCGGTGTGCTCGGTAGGTTGGGCTTAGCCTTAGGCACAGGCATAGGCATAGGCTTAGGCTTAGGCTTTATGCTACTGTCATAATCCCTTTTCCAGACGCGCTTCGAGCGGCACACAAAGGAGTTCCAGCGAACACTCTGGGTGGGTTTTTGTTATTTTTTACCAAAACTTTGAGATGAGCTTTAAATTCTCATTTCCAGCTCCTTCCCCCAGCCCTATTGATCTCGATATTTCTCCTATTCTGCCAGCTGATCCTGCCCTATTGGACTGGAGGGAATGGCGGCACGATATTGGCCCATTTTCTCTTCATCCTCTGCAGTGCCAGCTTTGGCCTCACGAATTTGCATCGGTGGGTTTTTGAGCCGGCGGCTGCTAGCAGAGATCATTTGGGTACGGGCGGGCAGTGATCAGGGAAGAAAAACGATAGCGTTGCAATGCCGCCATTTAAAATTCTATCGGTAAAAATGTCGACAGCTCAAATCCCCAACTAAAACGGGCTGCTGTCTGTCGGCTTTTCGCAATTTCCGGACAGGCAATTTGAATTTCACAGACTTTTTCTTAGGCTTGGGCTTAGGCTCAGGCTTAGACTTGCTTAGGCTTGGCTTAGGCATAGGCTTAGGCATTTTACCTTTCCACTTCTTATTGTCGGTATTTCGCCCAACTTCCCCGTTCAGGCTATTCACCGGCAAGCCGAAGCCGCTGCTCTCCGCGCCAGCTCACGTGGTGGCCGACGGCGTGCTCCCCGTCGAGGCTACACCGGTAGTCGTTTCCGGTCAGGTGCGGGCAGTTGCCGTGCAGTCGATCGTCTCGAAAACCGTGCCGTCTCGACCCGTGTCTGCCGTCTCGTCCATCAGCGACACCAACCCCGCGTCGTCGTTGTCGCGCCAGCAAAAGAGCTTCTTTAGGTCGCTCACCCAGAAGCTCATCACCAAGCTGTGACCTGAACTAAGGCGTGATTGATTGCTATACCAGAGCCCGGAGGATCCGGAAATGCGGAACATTATGTACAAACAACAAAATCTATGAATGATAAAAAGTACCTTATAGTCGCTGTTTCGCAATTACGGTAGCCTTTTATTAATTTTATGCGTCTAAAAGTCCCCACACGCCCCTACCTGGAACACTAGTGTGGACAGGGTCCCACAAGTCTTCCCTTGAGTTGCGCAATAATTGCTCCGGGACTTAGGCTTAGGCTTAGGCTTAGGCTTAGGCTTAGGCTTAGGCTTAGGCTTAGGCTTAGGCTTAGGCTTAGGCTTAGGCTTAGGCTTAGGCTTAGGCTTAGGCTTACAGAGGTCGACCATGGAAATCCGCCATATCGATAGGCTTGGGCCAAACCTTACTAGGGAAGTCCAAGATACCCGCAACACGAATCGGGGTGAAAATTTGCACAGTTATAGAACCGACCATGCTGATCATCGCCTCGTTTTCCGAATTTGCTACCGAGCTTAAATAATTAAGATACTAAACTTTTAAAATGGGCCAAAAACCCGCTACCCTGACCCTGGCTCACTAGAGCGGGTGGGGTTCAAGAGGTCTTTGGGAAGCCCCCTTTCCAGAGCTTCGGTAGTCAACTGCTAAGCGCCTCGCTTCCCAGGTGGAGGGTCCGGGCATTTTTCTTTTGCTTTTTGCTAATTTTGCGCCGCACATGTGGCGCGTGTCCAGATTGTGTTATGCACACGCATTTACGTACATCCTAGAAATGAAATTCAACGAAATCATAAATCTACGAAAAAAGTTCATAAAAACAACACTAGTAAAAAAAATTGTTAAAAACCGGTATTCCGTAATTCGACGGCAGCAACCGGCTCATTTGCGTGTAGTAAAAAACACAATCTGGACATGCGCCACATGTGCGGCGCAAAATTAGCAAAAAGCAAAAGAAACATGGGCAGACCGGGTCCGAACCCGGACCCTCCACCTGGGAAGCGAGGCGCTTACCAGTTGACTACCGAAGCTCTGGAAAGGGGGCTTCCCAAAGACCTCTTGAACCCCACCCGCTCTAGTGAGCCAGGGTCAGGGTAGCGGGTTTTTGGCCCATTTTAAAAGTTTAGTATCTTAATTATTTAAGCACGGTAGCAAATTCGGAAAACGAGGCGTTGAGCAGCATAGTCGGTTCTATAACTGTGCAAATTTTCAGCCCGATTCGTGTTGCGGGTATCTTGGACTTCCCTAGTTAGTGGATATTTCATTTTTTGCTGGGCCTAGTAGAGTTTTTCGCGCTCTTTCAAACGCGCTAATCCGCATCTTGCCAAAGTATTCCTCGGCGAAGCTATTAACAGTCAAAGTTCGGATTCAGACTTTGGCTCGGCCACAACACCCGTTAAAAAAATATGTTTATTTCCCCCGCTTAACACTTTTCCTCTTTTTCGCAATTGGCATTCGCGTCGGCCGGCATCGAGCAGATGGCAAAGTGCATCTTGCAGGCCTGGTCGTACTTTGTGAAGCGGTCAATTTTTCCGCACTCCGTGCGCCCGTTCACCTGGAATTTGGAGTGTCGTGGAATCGAAAAAGCCCGTACCGAAATGCCATCAGCCGCCCAGCCGAAGCCGGTTTTGCACTTGCCGGGCGTGAAGTCGGTCTCCTTCTTGCATTTGCCGTCCCAGGCCATGATTGCTGGAATGGGGAAGCTAGGCTTTAGGCTTGGGTAAAGCCTAGGCTCAGGCTTAGGCTTAGGCCTAGGCTTATGCTTATGCTTAGGCTTAGGCTTAGACTTAGCCTTAGGCTTACTGTTGACAATTTCCTTCACGACTCCGCTAGAAGTGTCGACCAGCTTGGACTTCTCGTTAAGGCAAACCCTAAAAAAATCCATATATCCATCCGTATATTCAAAATCCTACGTCTGCGCTTCCGCCCAACTCAGACACTTCTCGCCGCCTTCGAAGACCTAGAAAATGACCAAATCCAGAAAAGATACTTTAAAAATACTTTGTAGCAAGTAAACGTCTGCGGGTTGAAGCGCCACGTCAGGTCGGGGCACCGGTTGGAGTTGATCAGTGAGGAGCTGGACAAGTAGCACTGGAAAGAACAGGGTTGCTTTACGTTTGGGCTTATGCTTTGTACTGGGCTCTGGCTTAGGTTTAGATTTCCTCGTAGGACTTACCGGACAAGACGGGTCGATGGTGCAAGTGCCGTCTGAAAAATATCGTAATTAATCCATCGCACTGTACGGCATTGCACTGTGCGGCTTCTTAGTATTGAAAAACCTTACTTTTGTTGTTCGGCGGCAGGGGATATGGTGGCCGCGAAGTAGTAGACGATCCATTTGTAGTCGTCGGCGTCTGGCTTGTCGGAGTCGTGGCTGTCGAGGAGGTGACCGGTGGAACCTTTTTCACTGAAACCGAGGCTTGCACCTCTCCTCTTCCTCAACAATCTCTGCTAGCCTGCCCTCTCCTCTTCCTCAACAATCTCTGCTAGCCTGCCCTCTCCTCTTCCTCAACAATATCTGCTAGCCTGCCCTCTCCTCTTCCTCAACAATCTCTGCTAGCCTGCCCTCTCCTCTTCCTCAACAATCTCTGCTAGCCTGCCCTCTCCTCTTCCCCAACAATCTCTGCTAGCCTGCCCCGTACAATTCAAAAATTCCTCACAATACGGTGCGTCGAGCATGCATTGAGAAGGCAAGGTTGTCTGGCAGTCGAGCTGCGCATAAACTCCGAATGTCTGGTGGATAGCAAGGCACTTCCCGGGCTTGACCTTCGGCTTGTACTCGGAGGCTGAAAATCCAGAATCAGCAATGGATCACCGTTAGATTCTTTAGCGGCTTTTTTAACAATGCTTGCCGTCAAAAAACTCTGTAAATTTCATTAATCTCGGCATTGGATTTTCGATCTCATGCATATAAGGAATTCCTACTAATCTCGTTCAGCTTGTGAATCGGCAGCGTGAACGTCGCGCCATCGGTGAGGTACTTGACGGTGCCGTTCTTTTCCGCAGCTCCGATCCAGACCCATTTCTCGTCATCATCGGTGTTCGCGTTGTCTGAAATAATCTGCTAGCGCGCCCTTGGCATGAAATGGTCTCTGCTAGCCGGCAAACTTACGGTACACCTCGGCGGACATCCCCTTGACTTGGTTGTTTTGGTCGGCGTCCCGCGGCTCCGGCAGGCGATATCCCCAGAAGCCTTCGCAGCGGGCAATAGACCCGGCGTGGTGGAGGGCTGAAAATGAGCTTGGCTTAGACTTAGGATTAGGCTTGGGCTTAGGTGTAGGTTTAGGCTTAGGAGTGGTTAGGCTTCGGCTTAGGCCTGGGCTTTGGCTTAGGCTTACGCAATTGCTCCTTCATGTCGACATGGTAGCTGCGTACGCATTGCGGCGGGTTCCAAGGGCAATAAAGGATGGAGCCTGAAATTTCGGGATGTATTTCGTAGCTGGAAAAACTTTTTACAGAATTCCAAGGGAACTTACCATTGGCGCATCCGGCTTTGAAGGCGAGGTCAGCTGAAAAACGAAAAATTAGCGGATGGAGGATGACTACGATAAGTTTTTGAGTTTCAGGAGTTTTGGCCGTCGTTTCCCAAGGGATCTCTGCTAGCTTTTCACCTCAAATTTTGAGGCTATCGCAATCCTACCTCCGCTTTTAAAATCAACTTTCTGCTGCTTTGGGCAAAGATCCGGAATCGTGGCTAGGCCAAGCGCGAATAGGCAAGAACCGGCAAGAAAGGACCACATTTGGGAAGCGACAGCCTTTCCAGAAATCGCAAGTCTTTTATGGAGCCCCCATTATACCGAAGGGACGGCATAAGTCGTACTTTTCTGCTTGAGATTCGGTTCAAGGCGTTGCCTCTTGTATAAAATGAATAAAATGAGTCCAAAAATCGGTGGTTCAAGGTGTTGAACCTTGTAAAACGTTTTCTGGAAGTTTCAGGGGTCTGGAAGGTGGAAAATCAGCGTTTATAGGGTCGGAATTACGTGAGAAAGGCTAGAAGTCGACTGTATCTCGTTTTCTCTCATTCCCCCCCCCCGTCTCGCTCTCTAAGGCTTTTTCTCTCTCTCTCTCTCTCTCTCTCTCTCTCTCTCTCTCGCTCTCTTTTCAGCCAGGTCAGTTTTTGACCCGGAAGATCCGGTTGGCCCGTAAACTCGTGGATGACTCATCCCTTGGGAAAGCCAAATTTCGTTTATCGCCCTAGGGCATTTTGGGGGCGCCCCAAACACGAGTTGATGACGATATGGCTGGCGAAACCAAGACAAAGCGAGAGAGATAGAGCGAGAGCGAGAGAGAGAGAGAGGGAGGGGGCAGAGAGACGAGCTTAATGGATTGTTTATAGGGCCCGGGAAAAGGGGCCGTCAGCTGCCGTCCCGCAGCGACGAACCCCCGCCTTGAAAAAGACTGTGGTAAGGCCCGGATTCTCAGTCGGAGACCCACACAGAGCACCACATCAACATGAGGACAATTCTATTCTTGTTTTTCGTTACGGCTGCTTATGGTGGGTTTTTGTGGATTTTCGTTGTCAGTGCCTTTAAATCGCAGAAAAATTTCGTCCGTACTGTTCTCGCTTATTTTCAGGAAGTGCGACATCTGATTTGCCAATTTTCGAATATATTTGGCTTGCGAAAATTCCCTAAAAAGTCTTCAATAAATGTGCCGGTATTTTTTGGCGCTTTAAAGACGGCTAGGCACATGGCATTGGTAGTTTTGAAGATATTTGGCTTCCAAACCCCTTAAAAAATTGAAAATCATTTGCTACTATTTTTTGGCGTTTTAAAGGCACTGCGACACCAGAATTGCCAATTTCGTGCCAAAAAAAACGTCGAAATTTAGGCTACGTGTTCGACTGCCTGGACCAATGCGAGTGTGATACGGAAGACGAGGTGATCCACTGCCACAACGGAAAGCGGACCAAATTGGGTAAGTCTGTGGTTTTGGATTCCTAAGGAGTCTCTGCTAGGCCTGTTTTGTCCAGAAATAATCACCTCAAAAAACTCTGCTAGCCTGCCCTTCTCAGAAATAATTTCCTGAAGAATGACCGCTAGCCTGCTGTTCTCTGAAAACTTTCCCAAGGAATCTCTGCTAGCTTTACCTGCTCCGCAACAATTTTTTAAAGGCTTTCTGCTAGTCTTCGAAGTGTTTCCCCAAGAATCCCTGCTAGCCCGCCTCCCCGATGAAATCGATTCCTAAAGAATTTTTGCTAGCTAAAACTCCTGAAATGTCTTTTTCAGCCCTTCCCGAAGGTACTCGGCTTCGCGGTTTCCCGGTGATCGGAGCCACCTACAACAATATACAGACGCTGCCCGATGAGGAGACGCTCATCAGCAAATTCCCCGATCTCAAGGTGGGTTAAAGGGACCGTGAAGTTAAAAAGCAAATGAAAAATTAACTTTGGAAGCTATGTACGTACAAACTTCAAAACAACCTTTTTATGATAGTAATCGCTTGAAACTTTCAATTTACAGATTGTGGACGTGGAACGGAACCCAGAATTCGACTGCGACTCGGTGAACAACTACCAGAGGGTAGAAAAATTCAGTATCTAAAATATTCAATTTTTCATTAGATCAAAATCATCTCCGACTGCGACAAGAATGTCTCGTCCGTCAATGTCGTGCCGCGCATTGATCGGCCGACCAAGGTAATCAGGGGCAGGCTAGCAGAGATGTTCTAAGGAAAGCTAAAACGCTACAAACTAATGAATAGGAATAGGAATAACTTCTAAAACTGCTTAATTAAAGCTACAAACTATAAAAATCTAGGACTGCGACATCAAATGCCAGGCCGAGCGCCACTACAAGAAACTTCACGAATACGTCCTCCAGCTTTGGGATGTTTTGAAGGTTAGGAAAACCGTTAAATTTAACAAGTTTGGCCCTAGGAAAAGTACAACAACTTCGACATCGACGCCACGTGGCGTGACATCCGCGAGTTCTTCAAGAAGGTCGTCATCCAGGTCCAGGGCCTTGGCTCACAGATCAAGAACAAGTAAGCAACCTAAAAAAAATCGAACAGCAATCGTAAATATTAAATACCTGCATACCTAGACAATACTCACTGTTTAGGTGGGAAAACGCCGGAAACGAGCAGCAAAGCCACCCGAGGAATCTACAAATTAAGGTCGGAGACCACGTCGATCTGCCGACACAAGCGCCGATCGACATCTAATGCAAAAACTATCTACAAATCTGTAAATAAAGAAACTGGTAACCTTAATAAACGTTTCTACTATTGATAATAAAACTGTAATACCTCTAAAGCTATTTCCGGTAAGGAAAACACGAAGTAATTCAAAATTCACAAAACCAAGCTCAAATGAATGCAAAATTTGATAAAGTAGACGAGTTTTTGCAGTAAAAGGCGTTTATCATATGACAGATTCACCGAGACATATACAAAAACGGGAAAATACAGGAAAAATGAAGAAACTTGTCCAAAAACGTCTAAACTGCTCCGGATTCTTGGCGGTACTCAGCAGTCGAGGAAATTGGAGGCCATCAGCAGGTCGACGGCACTGTCTGCGTCGATGTTGAACTCAGGTATCTCGGGGCTGATCGATCGCGAGAATTCGTACTAAAAAGAAGGTTTATCAAAACATATTATCTTAACGAAACATTACAAAAAAACAAAACTCACCCTGTAGTTGAAATAGCGGCAAACTTGCAGCAGCGTTTTCGCGTTGATGTCCCTAAATTATAGATAACGAGCAAAGGTGAAAAGTTATACCGGAAGTAAATGATATTGTTCTCGCCGTCCTCGGTGACGCTGCCCGGTCCGGTGATCATGGCCTGAATGAAAACTTTTCAAAAGGTTCAAAGAGTATACCTTAATCGTCGTCGACACTTCGGCGCACTTCAGCGGCAAGTAGAACTCGTGGCCGTCCTTTGACGCTAGGCAAATGTAGTTCGCGGTGGTGCCTAAGGAATGATTTGTAATAATTGATACAATAATAAACCTTTTGAACACGGATTAGTGATGGGCCATGTGGGGTCCCGGGGTGCGGGCTTTTGGTTGTTTCCGCGAATTTCGTCAAGCTGCATCGGAACCATTTCTGGAAACAAAAAAGGTTAAACAATCAAGGTAAAAGGTAAAGAAACCTTGAAAAGAACTAAACAATTTAGAAAGTGAAACAATCGTGATAACCCGATCTCAGGTCCAGTTTTTAGGGTCAACGCGTGAATGTGTTTCAAACCGTGTGCTTCAAGTTGAATGGAATGCCAATTTTTATATTCGCGAAAAATTAAAGCCGTCATGATCATGTACAAATAACAATGCGTATCAAAGTATCAAATTTCAAAAATCAAAAACAAATTATAGGTCTAGCGGGGTCGTAACGAGCGTGTTTTAGGGGTCTTTGTACGTTCCGCGGGCTGTTGGCGTTCCTTCGAGCGCCGGTTGTCCTTTGGGGTGCCGGGGCTCGTTTCCGGCTTCTGCTCGGAATTCTCGGCCGGGAGAGGGGTTTCCGCCTTTTCCGCTGAAGTCGACGGGGCCTTGCGCTTGCGCGTTTTCTTCGCCGGCGCGGGTGTGGTCTAAAAAGTGTAAGCTTATCGAAATCTATATATTAACCAGCCGATTACAGCCGCTTCGCGACTGCAATCGGCTGGACTTCGGGCCACCCTCCATATTCTACACCACCACATTTAATCCCTACCTTCGCTGTGCCTTCATGGCAATAACTACACTGTGGCTTCAGATACCTCCTCTAGCCAACCCCCCACAAAAACATAGCTACCTTCCCGATGGCTTCAGATACCCCTCCGGGTCGAAATTCCGTTAAAAATCTACCAAAATACCTCCCTGATGGCTTCAGATTCCCCATGGCTGAAATCCCTTCAAAACTACTTAGATACCTCCTGTGGCTTCAGATACCCCCATGGCTGAAATCCCTTCAAAACTACTAAATACCTTCCTGATGGCTTCAGATACCCCCATGGCTGAAATCCCTTCAAAAACTACCTAAATCCCTTCCCGATGGCTTCAGATACCCCCATGGCTGAAATCCCCTTCAAAAACTACCTAAATCCCTTCCCGATGGCTTCAGATACCCCCCATGGCTGAAATCCCCTTCAAAACTACCTAAATCCCTTCCCGATGGCTTCAGATACCCCCATGGCTGAAATCCTTCAAAAACTACCTAAATCCCTTCCCGATGGCTTCAGATACCCCCATGGCTGAAATCCCCTTCAAAAACTACCTAATCCTTCCTGATGGCTTCAGATACTTTAAATAATTTAAATAATTAATTAACATAATTAAAAAGTATTAAAGTATTAAAGTAACTCAAAGGCATCTGGGCGCGAAGGGGCCTGGGGAAGAGGGGGCGAAGAGAGGGGCGTGGCCTCCCGGGGAGAGGGGCCCCCACTCGTTTTATTAAGGCGCCACTTTCAAAGTTAATTTTAATAATTTAAACAAAACCTTTTTCGTAATTTTTTTATCAGTTTGGGGGTTTCTGACGGCGCTCTATCCGAATCCGAAGAGAGCTAAGCTCTAGCTCCTTTCCCCTTCGAGTTGAATTCGGCTTCACACAGACAGACGGAGACCACAACAAAATTATTATAGTTGATATACCTGAACCGTCTCGTTAGCCTTCTCCTCCTCGTCGCCAATGTCCGGCTTCACCTCTGTCAGCTTGACCTCAAAATCTTCGACTCGGCGTCCATCGATAAGATCTTCTTTGTCGAGCGCTTGCTTGGCCGCCAACAGCTCGCCGAATTGACCGTCGGGCAAGAAGAAGTCATTCTAATCAAAAGTCTTCACCAATTTATGTTCCAAACCTGCGCTGTAAGCATTGGCGGGATGAGCTCGCTTTTTTCGATAGCGTCCATATCGTAGAGCTCGTCGAGTTTTTCCCAAATCATCTCGATAGAGGGCCGGATCGAGTATTTCGGCTTGAACACCAACACGCCCTGAAAATTTGATTTTTTAAAGTATTCAACCAGCGATAAATGAATTTTACAAATAAACTTACATGCAACGCTTGGTAACCGCCAACTTCTCGCCTCGTATGCAGCTCTTTCAAATCCCGTTCTGTCAAGTAATACTCGAAATCGGTGTTCTCATCCTCGTAGATCTAAAATGTCCCAATTTTCAATAATTAGTTGATTTTCAAGCGTACAAAATTCATATATCGGTACAGCATGCACATGTGGAAATGCCGCATCGGGCCCGCCGGTTTGTGCTCCATTACTTTCTATAAAAACTTAATTTTTTTCATCAACTTTTCGGGTCACCTCAAAAAGCCGCATCTCCGACAGCTCGCACCATTTTTGCTGCCGCGCTTCTTCTTCCTAAGAAAAATCGCAAAGTGTGGATCCAGAATCGCAAGAATTACCTCTATTCCCATCGCCGCCGCCTTTCTAACATTTGGACCAAAGTATTTTTGGCGTATCTCATCCTCGGTCAAATATTCTTTCGTTGCGAGGACATCGACCCTGGTTTTCCGTTCTTCCTCCATCTGAAGGGCCAGTTTTTCGAGGGTCGTGCTTATTCGCAAAGTATTTGAGCTATATTTTCATGCAAAGAAATTTTAATAATTTTAAAAACAAGAAACGAGAAAATCATCTTGAAAGTTGGTTTTTGAAGTTGAAGAGCGAGGAGATTCGGTGACGCCATGTAATTATGGTAAGGCTCGTAGAGTTTGTGGTCCATGGTGTAGCATGTGAAAAAGCCCTTTCAGTTGAAAAATGGTTGAAAAAAAGTTTAAATCGAACGTATTTAGCGTATTTAATCAAAATAAAATATTTATTATGCCACTTACACTTCTTTACCCGTTTCTTAGCATTTTGAGATCACAGGAATCACAATTCAAGCCCATTATTAGGGATTGGCCATCGAATTTCAAAATCTATAACGCCTAGCCCGTTCGTCTCGGTGACATACCACAAATAAAAGATTTCATTTGCCCAAAAAGACCCGCGTATGGTGATGGGGAAGATGAGGGAAAAGTAGTAACCCTCGAGAATGTAGAGTTTAGCCGAGGAGGTATAGAGGAGGAAATAGACTTTTTCTCGAAAAGTGACGGCAATATGGACGTGGTCATCTACTAGATCTACAGCTAGGGATATAGGGGGTTCAGCGGGGAGGTAGTTAGATAAAGAGAGCGTCAATTGATCGTGTTCTTCTCCACATTCTCCGCCATCATCTTGGGAGCTGATGTAGAGATCGCCATCTGCGGAGACCGCGACAAGATAATCGACTTTTTGGGTTGAAGCTCTAGAAAAAGCGGTTTATAGTTTCTAATAAACGTATTAAAAGCTATCAGATAAGTTATTACAGGATATTATTCGTTTTATGAACGCTTAGACTAGAGGTAATTCCGTATTTCTTCAGGAAACGCTATTTCCTTTCAACTTTTCCGGAATTTTGTATCTCTATTTTTAGCAGTTTGTTTTTCGCTAGTCATGAAGTTTATACAAATGGAACGAGGATTCAGCGGTACTTCACAAAGCAATAAAATCCTTTGGAAACTAAGAAATGCTAATTTTTGCCAAAATTTGAAGGTTTTCACTTTTATAGTATCTTTTCTAAGTTTAAAATTTTTTAAATTGTAATTTCTATCGATTTCTCACTTTTTAAGGCCTGAAAATAATAGATCAACTACCGAAATGCCGTCGCCGCAGCAGTGATGCTCTTTCCAAAATTGATACATTGTATTGGGCCCTGGTCGACACTGGCCGAATCGGTCTGGAAATTTTCAAGTGGATTTTATCATTATTAATTATGCTTTATGAATTAATCGTTATTTATCATTATGTTTTTATTAGCCTCACCCGGATCTCAATGCGCTCAAAGTTGGCCTGGTGTTTTGTCCCATTGCCGAGACTTATCGTCGAAAAGTTGAGTGCGGACACGCCACTGTATCTGTACGTCGATAGGAAGGCGTCGTGAGCCAGGTGACTGTGGTTGGCGACGGAGCAGTAGTTGTCGAGGCCATTTGAGCAGCAGTAGATGAGGTTGGCTGCTCGGCAGGGTGCGTCTTAAAAGGACAAGGTAAATTTCCGTAGATTTCGTTGTTACGTAAAGCGTCTACTCACTTTTGTGGAAGCATTCCGTATCTACAGAAAGGACACGACAAGAATCCGTTCCGTTCCGCACGATTTCAGATGACGTTTGCCGGGGGTTGTCTTGGTCGTTGGAGTCGAAATAGTAGATTTCTGAGCCGGAAAGGCCCAGAAATACGCCGGGAGACTCGTAGACGGGAGACAACGAATCCTAGAAAGCTTGAAATTTTGGCATACTAGCCGAGATTCTTGGGGAAGAGGAGATGCTGCTCAAATTTGCGGACGAATTCGAGACCAGACCAGGCTAGCAGAGATTCATAGGGAGTAGAAGCTGCAGCTAAATTCATGCTCAAATTGGAGACTAGGGCAGGCTAGCAGAGATACTTGGACTCGAGACCAAAGCAAGCTAGCAGGGATTCTTGGGGAGGAGAAGCTTCTACTAAAATTTGCGCTCTGATTCCAGCTCAGGGGAGCTAGCAGAGGTTCCTGGGGAGCAGGAACTGATGCTAAGAATTGCGCTTGCGTTCGACTACACGGTAGGCTAGCAGACACCCTTTAAAAACTCACAATCCCGTCCTGCACTTTGAAGACCCTCATCTGTAACCCGCGCACATATCCGTAGCCGTCGTTTGGATAGTTTGTAGTTGGAGGTGGGGCTAAATGAGTTTGAGAAACTAGCTCCTTTAGAGCGTACCAAGCGTCGAGTTGTAGATGTTGACCGGGGTGACGTCGTGCTTCTTGTGAAGGACGGCAAGTAAGATGCCCGCTGTGGTCAAAAGGGCCAATATGAGGGTGATGACCAGGGCTAGGGCCAGGTAGTGACGCCAGTTCCAGCGCTGAAAATCTGCGGAATTTCGGAAGACACAGGATGCTAGCAGAGATTGTTGAGGAAGTGGAGAGGGCAGGCTAGCAGAGATTGTTGAGGAAGAGGAGAGGGCAGGCTAGCAGAGATTGTTGAGGAAGTGGAGAGGGCAGGCTAGCAGAGATTGTTGAGGAAGAGGAGAGGGCAGGCTAGCAGAGATTGTTGAGGAAGAGGAGAGGGCAGGCTAGCAGAGATTGTTGAGGAAGAGGAGAGGGCAGGCTAGCAGAGATTGTTGAGGAAGAGGAGAGGGCAGGCTAGCAGAGAACATTCAGGAACGGTCAGGTCTACCTACCTGTCTAATATTACCGATTGTCCTTCCAAGGGCCGACTTCCGTGGCGGCGGCACCGGTATCGTAGGCTAAACATCCCGATTAAAGGCTCTATGACGCAGAAGAACTCACTGCTTGCTCGGTACGCCAACTGACAGTGTTCTGCGGCACGAAGCCATTGCTCGCCGTGGTGTGCTCCGCCCATGGCTGGATTCTGAAGAAAATCACGGTGTAAAATTTAAGGACTACACCCACCTAACGAACATTTCGTCCGTCGTGTCGGTGGGGAACCGAGCGTGTTCTCGACTCCGACGATGTCCATGTTTCCACTCGTCTTCCTGGTGTAAGGAGGCATGGCGCGGACGGGAGGAGGAGTCATCGAGGCTCATCTCGCTGTATAGATTTAGACTCAGGCCGATACTCTGTAGATTTTTCAATTCTTGTTGGGCCTAGAAGAGGTTTTTGCGCTTTTTCAAACGCGCTACGTAGCATCTAGGCTTAGACCTAACCGTAGGCTTAGGCAAATAGAGGTCGACCATGGAAATCTGCCACATCGTTAGGCTTAGGCTTAGGTTTGGGTGGGGCTTGGGCTTGGGCTTGGGCTTGGGCTTGGGCTTGGGCTTGGGCTTGGGCTTGGGCTTGGGCTTGGGCTTGGGCTTGGGCTTGGGCTTGGGCTTGGGCTTGGGCTTAGGCTTAGGCTTAGGCTTAGGCTTAGGCTTAGGCTTAGGCTTAGGCTTAGGCCTAGGCTTAGGCTTAGGCTTGGGCTTCGCAAAAAGGTTAGATTCGCTTTTCCGATCCCCTCTGCTAGTGGGCCAGGTAGGTAGCGAGTGAGGAGATAGAAAATTATGAATGAAGCAGAAAAACTGAATCTTCTGCTCCCGAGATACTTCAATAAAAATACTTCAATGAAAAACAAACAACGTTTTAAACATGGATTTGGACGTAGGGGGTGAGGGGGAGGGTCGGGTCTTGAACCCGCATGGCCGCACTGGATTCTCCCGATAAGGGACCGAATAAAAAACGGCGAAGTTTCGTGATAAACTCCAAGAAGTCGGTGACGGTGACGAAACACTGTGATTCGGAGCCTGGACAGGTGGAGAAATCTAGCATTCGCATCCTGTCGCATTCTATTCTAAAATTCATTCCGAGGAATCATGCATTGCCTTCCTCGAGCAAGGTGACAAAATTTATTCGTTGTTCGTTGAGACGCAAAATTAAAAAAAAACGTTGGATATCAGGGAACAAAAGACAATTCGTTGCGAAAATAAATATTTACAGGGGGTTGACAGGTAAAAAGGGCTGAAAGAGGGGGTGGGGGACCAGCTGGATAAATGCTAAACGGCTTTCAAAGTAAATTCAGAGGGATTTGGAAGAAAAAAAAGCGGGTTTTAGGGTTTAGGCTTAGGCTTTGAACCCGCGGGCGGCCCTTGGCCGTGCGGGGGGCGGGGCCCGGGGGCCGGGCCGGGCGCGCCCTGGTTCCCCTTGGTCGGGCTCGGGCTCGGTCTTTTGGGGGTCGGGCTTTGGGGCTGGGGCTGGTTTTAGGCTCTATTTTTTTTTTGGTTCTAAAAAAATTTTGGTTTGTCTCTGCCCCCGCCCCCGCCAAAGCCCCAACCTTCCTAAAGAATCTCCGTCATCTGTCCCATGCCTGGTTTTTCCTTCCAATTCCTATAAGCATCCAAAAACACTAGACGGGGAGCGTAAAAAAAATTGGGGAAAAATTTAGAAGAGCCAGCCCTTCTAGGCTGGCATTAGGTATCAGGGCTCACAACCGGATCTCAAGAAATCACAATCTTTAGAAGGGGAAAAGATAAATTGGAAAACGGCGCGGGGCTAGAAACGTCTAGAGAATGCTTACGGCGTGCAACGAAAATTTAAACTTGAACTGAAAAATCTACAGTATATCTCGGTGGGCTTTAAAGCTGAGCTGCGGCTCGGGGAGCTGGTGGCAGTGGAAGGGGCCTGGAATGAGGAATGAATTGGCTTTTCGACAAACCGCTAGACTCTCTCGCTCCCCTCTCTCTCTCTCGCTCCCTTTCTCCCTCCCTCTCTCTCTCTCTCTCTCTCTCTATCTCTCTATCTTACCTGTATTTCTCCGGATACTCTAGTCGTGGTCAAGATGATAGTTATAGCGATGATGACTGCGTTGGCGTCGTAGATGGCGTTCCATCCGCCGCCCCAGCTTGTGCCAATCTACAAATCTTGTTGGCTTAGGCTTAGGTCTGGACTTACCTGAAAACCCGACGGCCCCAGGGTAGTAGTAGACCTCCATCACCCATTTTTGGTATGAATCGCGAGAAATTATCTAGAAAAATAGCTGATTTTTAACGTTTAAAGGAACAAGCAACCTTTCTCGGTGATTTTGCATATCGATCGTTGGGGAACTCGACGAAGAGGGTCCAGTAGCCCTTGCGACGCACCTGTAAGTACATATGCAACCGGCCCTTTTCCCCAACAATCTCTGCTAGCCTGCCTCTCCTCTTCCTCAACAATCTCTGCTAGTCTGCCCTCTCCTCTTCCTCAACAATCTCTGCTAGCCTGCCCTCTCCTCTTCCTCAACAATCTCTGCTAGCCTACCCTCTCCTCTTCCTCAACAATCTCTGCTAGCCTGCCCTCTCCTCTTCCTCAACAATCTCTGCTAGCCAGCCCTCTCCTCTTCCTCAACAATCTCTGCTAGCCTGCCCTCTCCTCTTCTTCAACAATCTCTGCTAGCCTGCCCCCTCCTCTTCCTCAACAATCTCTGCTAGCCCGCCCTCTCCTCTTCCTCAACAATCTCTGCTAGCCCGCCCTCTCCTCTTCCTCAACAATCTCTGCTAGCCTGCCCTCTCCTCTTCCTCAACAATCTCTGCTAGCCTGCCCCCTCCTCTTCCTCAACAATCTCTGCTAGCCCGCCCTCTCCTCTTCCTCAACAATCTCTGCTAGCCTGCCCTCTCCTCTTCCTCAACAATCTCTGCTAGCCTGCCCTCTCCTCTTCCTCAACAATCTCTGCTAGCCTGCCCTCTCCTCTTCCTCAACAATCTCTGCTAGCCTGCCCTCTCCTCTTCCTCAACAATCTCTGCTAGCTCACCTCAAAGGTCTGCTCGTAGGTATGCCCTGCGGATACGTTAAAATCGGCAGTATTGTCGACTCCCACAAGCCGGAAAAATTGAGCTTCGGAGACGTTGTGATTCCTGAAAAAGGCAGCTAAAGTGGAAATTTTCCTCAAGAATCTCTGCTAGATGGCCCTCTTCCGTTTCCTCAAAGATCTTCGCAAGGTTCCCCACCTGACAAATAGCGTCAGCTCGTATTTCCGTCCCTTATAGGGGTGTAGCCGTCGTGCCGTATAGAATGGTATCGCAATCGTCAGGAGTAGCAGGGCGGTCGGCCACTGGCCCGCACGCATCACGCACCGTACCCCGGCACCAGGTTATGCAGTCCGTACCGAGACGTACACACGCGTACAGCCCCCACCACGGCCGCCCACGAAGGATGGGGAAACGACTGGATGCTCTGGAAATTGAGGGAAGAGAGGGAAAAAGAGAGAGAGAGAGAGAGAGAGAGAGAGAGAGAGAGAGAGAGAGAGCAAGAGAGAATCGATTTTAAGAAAAACTAAAATTATAACACAAAAATTCCGCCTGACACCTCGTTGCATACAAGCTGCGAATTCCACATTTAATTGGCCGTTTCTCAGGTGCGGAACGCGAGGGAAATGGGAATTTGGCGTAAATATTTGCTCAGAAATACCTAAATAAACATTGAGAAATTCACCACGACAAAAAGAAGAGAAATGAAAAGCAAGCAGGCTTAGGCTTAGGCTTAGGCTTAGGCCTGAGAGGCTTCAGCGTAGGTTAACAATAAATATATTGTTTACAGGGCCTCGGGTGAAGCCTAGAAATGCCGGGTATCTGCTGGGTTTGGTCTCCTCCAGAAGACAAAAAAAGAAGATTTGGAAGTGGGAACCGAGAGGGGAGTCCGGGTTGCTCCTATTCCCCCTTTTCTCGATTTCTGAAGGTCCCTGGGGGCCAAGTTAGACAGCCACACTGGCCCACTCATTCCCCTTGTCTTCCTAAAAAAAAACTAGGAAAAAATAAACAGCTTATTTTGAGGCTAGAGATGAGTCCCTGGTGACAGCTGGCGGGGATCTTTGCGGAACTTCGGGGCTAGCTAGCAGAGAATGTCGAGGAAGGGGAGAAGGCAGGCTAGCAGAGATTGTTGAGGAAGAGGAGAGGGCAGGCTAGCAGAGATTGTTGAGGAAGAGGAGAGGGCAGGCTAGCAGAGATTGTTGAGGAAGAGGAGAGGGCAGGCTAGCAGAGATTGTTGAGGAAGAGGAGAGGGCAGGCTAGCAGAGATTGTTGAGGAAGAGGAGAGGGGCAGGCTAGCAGAGATTGTTGAGGAAGAGGAAGAGGGCAGGCTAGCAGAGATTGTTGAGGAAGAGGAGAGGGCAGGCTAGCAGAGATTGTTGAGGAAGAGGAGAGCGCAGGTTAGCAGAGATCATTTTAAAGGAATTTACGCACCTAGCATGGATCTTCTAAAAAATCAAGGCAGTCCAGCAGAGATCATTTGCGGAAAAATCCCGTCTAAAAAGTCAACCAAAATGCGGCCGCGTAAGCCCGGGGGATTTTGATGACTTCTCTCAGGTTGTTTCCTCCCAAGGCGCCCTTTCCATTTCCGAGACTTTCCAAAAAACGTCGCCCGGCACACAGGGAGGGGTTAAGTTTTCGGCCCGAAAAAGGTTTGATGATTCCGGGCAAAACCCCCGGACGGACAGGTGAGTGATTAGGTGGTGGAGGGAGGGCAGCTGGGGAAGAGGTGGCTGATGTATGGCCGTTTGGGAAGATTGTCAGATTGTCAGGGGCTTTTAAAGGGACTGGGCAGTCAAAAAGGGTTTCAGGGATTCTCAGGTTTAGTCTTAGGCTTACGCTCATGCTCACTATTGGGTTTAGGTTTAATGACTTAGCAGATTTTTGGGTGCACCGATGCTAAAATTCGTTTTAAAGGCCCAATTAAGGCAGGAGGCACAGAAAAATCGCTTGCGAAATCGTAAAAATTTCCCAAAAAACACGTAGTATTTTTTTGATAGCTGCCGAAGGCAAATCTCGAGCGCGTAGAGGGGCAGAGGTTGAAGGGCAATAAAAGGCGATGGGGCCCCGTCTTGAGGGCCCACAGCAACGGCCCAAAATGGAAGATGCCCGAGCAAAAAACGGCCGATTCCGAGGATGAGGCTCCTTGAATGCCAATGAGGAATTAGATGGCCCATATTCGCACCAACGAGAGAGAGAAGGAGGGAGGGAACGCTCTTTTAAAGGGAGCATCACCTAAAAACCCGGTTTTAAAGGGAGTATGACATGGAAAAAAACTCGTTTAAAGGGAGCATGACAGGAATAAACAGATTTGAAAGGGAGAATGACCGGACTCGACCAATTTTAAAAGGAGCAGGACATAAAGCAAATTTTATTTTAAAGCGAGCATCACCGGAAAAGATTGGATTCAAAGGGAGCAAGACTTTTTCAGGGGGAGCACGATACGAATAAATTGGATCTGAAAGGAGCCCGACAGGAAAATTTTTGCTTTAAATGGAGCGTGACCGGAATAAGCTGATTTTAAAGGGAAAAGGACAGCAATGAATATTTTAAAGGATGCGAGATAGCTTTACCTTGCTCCCCCTCCCTCCCTCTCTCTCTCTCTCTCTCTCTCTCTCTCTCTCTCTCTCTCTCTCCCTCTCTCTCCCCTCCCCCCTCTCTCGCTCTCGCGCACCTTCTCAATAACCATGAAAATACAACTAATTTACGAGTTCGTTTCGGAACGGCTGTTCTCCCCCTCCCCCAGATGCCAGCCTTTTTGAGGCCGACCGAGATTTGTGGGTGTGGGGGAGGAGATCCTTGCGGCGATTCTGTTTGTGCTCCATCAGAGCCCTATTTCCTCTTCTCGTGCTCCTTTTTAGGCATCCCTCTTTCCCTCTCTCACTCACTTTCTCACGCTCTCTCTCGCGGCTTTTCCGCATTTCCAGCCGACAGCAAGACAAGACAACAAAATGCGGGCCAAGGGATGCAATTTTCATTTGGTGTCTCGGTGTTGGGAAAGTTGTGTTTATCGATAAAATATTGGCAATTTAGGGAGGAGAATTTACGGCAAGCTAGCAGAGATTGTTGAGGAAGAGGAAAGCTCGCATAGACGATTTAAAAATATCCGAAACATATTTTTTAGCAGCGACTACCCGAAGGGATTATTTACAAAACAGATTAGCAGCCCGGTGGCTGTATACGGAGTGCTTATCTTTTCCAAAAGCATACAGATTCCGGGCCGGTGAACGGATTTTTCGAACGTAACACAAAGGTTTTCCCGGCAGGCAAGCAGAGATTATTTGACGCGGAAGGCAGACTAGTAGAGATTCTTGAGAACTGAAATCAAATCCAACGATCCGTCATATCTCGGGAAACGCGAGAGTAACAAAAAAATTCGAAGGGATAGGTGAGAAATATTTCGGGAGGGTTTTTGCAAAAAATGTGGGTTCTGGAATTCGAATGGCCAGTCAAGGCGGCTTTTGAAAATCGAATCAAGGTGGCGGGGATGGAAAACAATCCGGAAAATAAAGAACTAGATAGCTAGCAGAGCCTCTTGAGGAAGGCATGAAAATTGTGCGTTCGAAAACTAGTAGATATCGAGGGCGCCTGCTAGCAAAGGTCTTTGAGGAATCGGAAAAAGTGGAGACAGGCTAGCAGAGATTATTGAGGAGATCGAGTCACCGGCAGATATTCTTGAGGGACAGGAGACGGATGGAGGCAAGCTAGCATAGATTCTTCGGGGAAAGCTAAAGAGATGCTTGAGAAAGAGTAAGCCCGTGGCCAAGGCAAGCTAGCAGAGATTCTTGAGGAACCGGGAACAGCGTGTAAGCCTACAAGGACCATGAGAAATTGTTTCAATTTTTCAAGGGGAGCTGCCAGGTAGCAGGCAAAGCATATCACATGGGGTGTCGTCCGGGCGCAAACAATGCTTCTCCGCTAGCTCATTCTTCATTTCGTAGCCCCCGGGCACACCCATATGAACGAACCAATTAGGCTATCAAAACGGGGAGCAGCCTTGGAAAAGTGGAAAGGTGGTGGCAAATTGGGCTTAGGCTTAGGCTTAGACAGGCTTCGCTTGGCTAAATCTTAAGCTTTGGCTCTGGCTTAGGCGTTGGCTTAGGCTTAGGATCGGTCTTAGATTTCGGCTTACGCATAGCCTTAGGCTTAGGCTTAGGCTTAGGCTTAGGGTTTGTTTGGGCTTAGATATAAAACTAGGTTAGCCCTCATTTGTAGGCTTAGGCTTAGGCTTAGGCTTAGGCTTAGGCTTAGGTTTAGGCTTAGGCTTAGGCTTAGGCTTAGGCTTAGGCTTAGGCTTAGGCTTAGGCTTAGGCTTAGGCTTAGGCTTAGGCTTAAGCTTAGGCTTAGGCTAAGGCTTAGGCTTATACTTTGCTTAGACACAGGTTTAGGCTTAGGCATATGCTTAGGGTTTGCTTAGGCTTGGGCTTGGGCTTAGGAATCCAAAAAGTGCAACAAGGCCGGGGCGCGGATAAATTATCGTGGGTCGGCGCCCCGGAAAACCAGTTGCCATAACAGTTCTTCACGCCCCGTCCAATCCAGGCAGCCCCCTCACACACAACACCCAGAGAGTACACAACAATACCAACGAACAAACGGCGAGGACAGGGAATGGAATTGCCGTATTCACGCGGAATTTTCGAGAGAGCGAGAGAGAGCGAGTGAGAGAGAGAGGGTTACGGTAGCTAAAAACGTTTGCCAAGAAACTATACCGCATCTCCGGGCAACGTTTCCAACTGTGCCGCCCCGGATTTGCATAAGGGAAGGTGAAAACGAAGAAGAATAGGAAAAGAAAAGTTGCCCCCTCCCCCGACCAACAAATAAACGGCTCGATTTCGGCGGTTCAGCCCCCCCACCTCAAAAAAGAAACGGGGGAATGCGCTCCCCCTGGATGACCGTGAAAATGCGGTCGCCACGCAATTTTTCAGAGTGCGAGAGTGGGAGAGAGAGAGAGAGAGAGAGAGAGAGAGAGAGAGAGATAGAAAAAAAAAAAAAAAAAAAAAAAAAAAAAAAAAAAAAACAATCGTTTACCCGCGTGAATCGGCTACTACCGTTTTGATAGACCGCCTTTGGGAATGGTAAACATGGAAATTTGTGGGGGTTGACTAGCAGAGATTATTTGGGATCAATAAAGGTAAGCTAGCAGAGCTTTTTTTTAGAAAGAGGAACCGGTAGGCTAGCAGAGATTGTTGAGGAAGAGGAGAGGGCAGGCTAGCAGATATTGTTGAGGAAGAGGAGAGGGCAGGCTAGCAGAAATTGTTGAGGAAGAGGAGAGGGCAGGCTAGCAGAGATTGTTGAGGAAGAGGAGAGGGCAGGCTAGCAGAGA